CATTACTTGATTCTTTAAGAATATAGAATAACTAATTTTAATATGAATCATGTTAATTATAATAATTTAATTTGAATTCTTCTATTTTTTTTTATCATTAATATAGGCATTTGGATTTGTGAATTTTTATCTCAATATTAAGAGATAGGAATTTGTCTGAAGAACAGCTTAACATGACTAGATATTTTTAATAATGCATATTGAATTTGCAGTTGCGAGGAAACTATGATATTTTATAGTTATAAATCGAGATATTTTTCAAGAATGCACTTAAATATTAATTCATGTAATAACTTTAGAAAGCAAATGATCGTGTTAAAAAATGTTAATTTTTAACAATATTCTTTTTAAATATTTTTATTTTCTTATTGATTATAAGGCTTGAGTAATCAAATCAAAAAGAAAGGAGAATGTACAAAAAAAGTAGATCCTCTCTAATTAGGATAATTTAATATTAATTGTATGTTAAAGTAAAAAGATCACCAGAAACCTACTCTCCATTCTTTCCTTCTCTTTTGGAGTTGTTTGTACCATCTATTACTCCACCATAAGTATGTAACTTAATGGAAATTGACTTCAAACCTATTTATTAGTTAACACTAATTACAATTAATGTATATTTTATCTTCAATACTTAAATATAATATTCACAATTAATATTACAATAATTGAATGAAATAAGTTTGAAAAAATATTTCATAAATTAATTTATCTAATTATCATATTATTTTTTATATAAATTTAATTTACAATTATAAAATGATTGTTCTTATCAAACTTAAACTAAAAGGTATTGAGAATAATCTTCGATGTTATATAGACAATCCTAATCTATGACATCTTCTTTCTTAGTTAATATTAGAAAATTAAGTTATTTTCTTCTGGATATCAAAAGTAAATTTTAGGCTTTCTGAGTAAACTCCTTTAATTTTAGATATTAAATGTTGTATATAAAATTTAACATTTATATTTTGCTGCAAGTTATCAATATGCTTGGGAAACATTAAATATTATGAATTAATTATTTTATTTTTAGAAATTCGCCTAAATATGAATCGAATATGAAAACGAAAATTTTATAATACAATAACTTTTAAAAATCCATTTAATGATAGTTTACTTTAGTCATGCCTTATTATTCTTAATCATGATTTTTAATGTCCTTCTAATCGTACTCTTAGATGAATGAAGGATGAAAATTCGATAGTAACAATTTCCTTATTATTAGTTGCTCAAAAGCATTTCAAATTTTTTATCATTAAAGTTGTAGAATTACAAGTTTTTATAAGTGAGCCTCTTGAAAAACTCAAATCTAAATAAAATCATTAATTTTTCATTATCTTACATTCTTTGACATTCTTATTATTTATTCCCCTTCTTTATATTATTATTTTATTACAATAAATAACATTCCTTTTTGAATGATTCACTGGACCAAATATTCAGGGTTTGGGATTTCCTTTAAAATTCTGACTTATTGTAATTAAATTTTATCCTCCCAGTATAACTCCTAATATTTTCAAATATTAAAGTTGTTTCTATTCAATAATATGTTCTTTAAATGTTATACATCTGAGGGAAAAAATAAGTGTAATCTTTAACAATTCAAAGGAAAACTTTAATAATAAATATCTTTAAATTAAGATAACAAATCTTAATGAATTACATAGATGAATACCAGTAATAATACCAGTAATAATACCAATCATAATGTTATTTGAATTAGGTAATATCAAACAATCTTTAGATATACTAAACTCATTCTTAATTTCGAATAATTGATTATTTCCTTTTTCTGTTAATTCATGAATAGTTGTAAATTTATTAGATAATATCATCATTTAATTAGATTATTCTAAATTATTTATCTAGTATATTTTATTTTCACATAATATGAAATAGGAAAAAATAAAATAATTAGGTTAATGATATTGTTGAGTTTATCTTTAGCTAAATACAAAAAAGACTATCTAATTTTAATTTTACTCGATAAATCTTATTAATAGTTTTGGTTCAAGGTATAAATTCTTAATCACTATTTAACTTATCTTTGAATAAATAAACACTTTCTCCATCAACAATAAGCATATATTGTTTGTTTCAAAATATTCAATCTTTTTCATTTTATTTTAGAGATTTATTTCATGATATGTTTCTTCTTTCATTTTATTTATCATCTAATTATAAAAATTATAGAATAATTTCTTTTCTATTTTGATTTACTATTGAATAAAATCAAAAATAACTTATCAGGAATAATTATACATAAAATATATTCAAATTAAGACTTCATTATATGAACATTTTGTTCAAAATATAGTTCTATTTTTTTTCATTTTTTACATAACTCAATTTTAATATTTTTTCCCCCTAACACTTGTAATAAGTAAATAAATTGTAGCATATATAAGAGGGAAAAATATATATATCTTACTCATAACAATTTATTTTAAAAAAAATTGCCTTTTACAGAATGATATGAGCATATAAAAAGAAGAAGGAAAACAAAAAATTATTAAAATTAAAAAATGGTTTTATTGATCAATGTCATTCTACTATTTTTCCATTTGTCAAATTGTGAATGGACTTCTATTACATCTTACCTCACATAAATAAAAACTTTGATTTTTCGAAGACTAACGATTGCTATTAGTATTCTGAAGGGTTTAATGAAAAGAAAGAGTCAAGTAAAACAACTGCAAATTTTATAAATTGTACTTAATAAGGAAGCTACATAACACTTAACAACTATTCATCATCAGCTTAATATTATAAATCTTAGTATATTGTGGTTAAATATTTTTTATAACTTTTGATCTCATATTTTTTGGTATTTGGAATGAGCTAGAGAATTTGACATATTCAATCAATAATTAAAAATATGCTTGGATTTATAATAATTTCATGGAAAAAGTTGAAATATAAAAGGGATTTTGTGATTCAAAACAGGCATTTATATAGAGTGCTAATTTTACAATTAATTAAACTTCGGCTAAATGAATTCATTAATTTAATACATTTACTTAATGGGTAATGTATCGATCAAGAATTTCATATATTCAACTCTAAAATGCCATCCAAATAGTAAACAATGCTGGGGTGATTTATCAAACCAAAGTACTCAGTGTTTTTATGATAAAATTCAACCAAATAACACTTGTTTGAATGCATATCCACAAGAAACACCATATTTTGTAAAATATTAGGGATGCAGAAATACTTGTCTTTTAGACAAATTATTGTTTGTAAATGGTTATTGTGAATCATATAATAGTAAAATTTATATTTATTAATAGGTTAAATATTCTACTGGTTTGGTTTATATGAAAATAAAACTGCTGAATAATATAACTGACAAATGTTGTATGATTTTGCCCAACTTCATCATCCTATTCCTTAGAATTTCTACTTTGATATTTTTTTCATGTACTTGGGATATTTAAAAAGAATTAAGGGATTTATATAATTACAAACATTAATAATCCATATAACCTGACTTTAATAAATTTATAATTAATACTATTTAATGAAATGCCGCCTGAAAGCAGTATTGAATTATGTATTAATGACACTTTTTATGGAAAAATATATACAAATAGTACAAGTGTGTAAACAGATAATGTTATAATATATGGTAATTTTTCTAAGCCAAATTACATTGAGAATACAATAAATTATTCGAATAATCAATAATATCAAATATATTTGTATACAAACTTAACAAAATATTTCACTATTAATTAATAGGAAATTATACGTAAAATTAAATTGTATTTTAGAGTTATCAACACTGGTCGGGCTATACGGAGTATTGAGATTTCATTAGGGTATTGTCCCTCTTAGTGTTAAACATGCAGTGAAAAATTCAAATGTACTAAGTGCAATACAAATTATTACATTTCAATAAGTAGCCAATGTGTTCTATGCACTTGTAATTTTAATTTAAAATTAAACATTCTCATTGTAAGATTTTGATACTATGGATGCAACAAAAAGTATTATAATATTAATTAGTTGTAAATTCCAGAGTATTAATAAAAGAATTTATGGGATTAGAAATTAATCCTGTACGTATTATGAGTTTTTAGTTATTAGTTAAATAGGTTAAAACTTCCTTAAAGGAGCTAATATCTATAATTCAATTTGGAATAACAAATAGAGAATCTTTGGAGGACCATTTATATGGGCGTAGGCTAGATTTTCAAGAACATTCAATATTATTGATCCTTATCATAGTTTGTCTATAGCTTTTATTGTTGTTTTTGGTCCTTAATTTCAGGAAGATGGTAAATTTTTATCTTGGATTGACGACACTCTTATTAAAGAATTGACAAAATCTAATACATCAAAAATAATATTCGAATAGCACTAACATTCTTTAACTACTCTCAAAATAGATTGGGAATGTTAAGGTCTTAATAATGAACCTATAGAAGCTTATTGTGGATTTTATCAGTTTTATATTACTGTTCATTATTGTAGGACTGGTTGTCAAGCTTGTACAAATGAAATAGATTGCTAAAATCCTAGTACAGTACTATCTTCTACATGCTAATAGATTAATGAATATTATGATTGGCATTTAGATTAATGTTAAAAATGTCCAAATAATTGCTAAACTTGCACATCTTTATAAAATTGTTTAACCTGCAAGGAAGGGTTCATTAACCCGATTTAAGGGTGTGTTTGTTCTCCTAATTAATATTTTGATAAAAATCAACAACAATGTATATAATGCCCTTAAAACTGCGATAGATGTATTAATGATGTAATTTGCACCTAATGTGATTTTGTAAAAATTCGAATATTAACTAATAATTAATGCATTTGTAAAGAAGGCTATTATGATGATAATTAAAATTGTTTAAAATGCCTTTAATTTTGTAACAAATGCACATCATAAAATGATTGCCAAGATTGTATTAAAGGATTTAGCTACAATAGCAGCAGTCTTATTTGTGAAAGACCTGCTAATCAATATTATGTTAGTAGTCTTGCTAAATTTTTAGACTGTCCTATTTACAATTTATGTGATCCTTGTAATTCAAATTAGGCTAACTGCAATTGTGGGGATGGTATAATTACTGAAATGGAAGAATGCGATGATATGAATAATTTAGCAAATGATAGATGCTATAATTGTAAATTAGAATGTTAAATATAATGTACAAAATGTATACTAGGAGTGTGCTATGAGTGTGCAACTTCAGGTTGGTATCTGGATACTTTAACAGATAAACTTATTTGTAAAGAATAATGTAGAGATGGGATAAAAGTAGGAACAGAAAAATGTGACGATGCTATCGAATCAACTAAGAAAATCTGTAAGGATTGTTAATTTTNTAATATAATATAAAAGAAGAAAGATAATTGATATATATTGACGAAACATTAATTGGTAATGATTTTCTTAGACCTAAAATTTGGTGTAAAAGAAATCAAACTTATTATATTGATCGAGCTGAAGTAAGAACAAGAATTAATATAATTGGAGCTATGAGCAAGGATTTATTGGTTTTTTCATTTTTAATGTGTAACATCAATTCACTAAGAATTTCAAATTTTTTTTAATAAAGCTAATTCTTATTTGTAATTAATAATATGGGCTGCGAAACTATGTATTTGTTATTATTTGGAAATTAAGTTAATTTATTTAAAAAATAGAATTAGATTAAAATAACAAACTTAGAATTTGAATTAATAATTTGTAAATAAAGTCAATTTATTAAAAATATATAATACAAATAATAAACTTAGAATTTGATTAAATACCACAAACCTGACATCTAATTGTATATACTATGTTAATCAATCAAAGTATCATAAATTAGATAAAAATTAATCATTTTTTTTGTGACATTTTTCTCTCATAAATTTCAAATAATCTAGAGTTATTTTTTTTGTAATTATGGGGAAAAGTTTTTAATTGTTAAGAAAATACTAACTTAATTTAGTCAATTTGAAAGAATTTATTAATTATCTTTGACCAGGTCATTTCCATCAAGTAAATATTTCATTAATCCTTCATCTCTTTTTTACTTGTTTTCTGATTACGAGCCTATTAAGGATGTGAAAGAGCTTCCTTGCTATGATTATTTCTAAGTATTTTCTCTATTTCCTTCAGTGTGTTATATTATGATGATTCTTCAAAGTGGTTTAATTGCTTAGTTTATGGCACTAGATCTTTTAATTGCAGCAGTTAGATTTTCGATTGGTTAATGTCTCCACAGACAATAAGAATGGCTTTGTGTTTTACCCTTAATAAGCTGATTAAAAAGTCTCCAATTATTTCTTTGATTTTTAGAAGAATTGTTTTTTTGGTGAATAGATATTCAATGTGAATATTTCTAGTTTTTATCCAGTTATTTAGATCAGTTACCATTCTAATTATTTGTCTATTTGAGGGAGTATATTTGAAATATCTTTCGTGAAGAATTAATTGTGAACTCCGATTGCTTTCCCACATCCCCTGGTATGATTTTCTTTTATTAATTTATTATATTATGTATAAGAAGGGGAGTTTAGTATTTCTTTTCTGGTTTCTTGAAAGCACATTATATGTGCTCCTGTTTATTTGCCAGTTTTTAGAGTATCATATTTCATTGAGAATACGTTCCTTATAAGGACGATTAATTAATTTGGGATTTATGATTTTATAGTTTAAGTGAATATGCTCGTTTATGATTTTGTGCTTTTGTAATTATGGTCAACAGCACAGATCTGATTTACCTGAATTGATTCCTCAAAGATTATTATTTTTTTTTATTAAAAGATAGAATGGTGTTTTTTTGTAATGTGTTGTTTTCACCCTGTCTTACTTTTAAAAGACAACTTTACATAAATTGCAATATCTATTCAGGTCTATTTAAAAGTCATTGTTGGATTATTATTGTGAAATACCAAATTATTTGGATTCTTCTGTATATTAAACTGATTCCATTATCATAATTATTTTGCACTACCTTTGTTTTATGGAAGATAAATTGGTTTTTTGGTTTTAGTTTATTATTGAAAATGATCTTTCTAAATTCTCATCTTCTTTTTTCTTTTTGGTCTATTTATTATCTTTTCTTGATATCATATGTACTATTTAATGAGTAATTATCTTTTTCACTTTTCTGTTTTTATTATAAGATTATTAGTAGAGGCTGGTAATGAATCTTTTATTTTTAATACAGTTATTCATTTACTATTTTAAATACTGTTTCCTGTTTTCTATCAAAATGATGTGATTATAACTCTTTAAATAATCTCTGTATTGACCATTGTTTATTTAATTTATTTTAGAAATTACAATTATACATTCATTGAATGAGAAATAAAAGATGCCATAATAATAAATAAACAAAGGATAACTAGGTGGTTATAAATATTACTGAAATCTGTGCTAAAAATGCTAGATATAATGTAAATGTCTTATCTTGGAGTCTAATGAGATAAGCCCATTTAAATATGAACTAATTGTCCTTTTGTAGAATCTTATGACTTTTCACATCGCAATCATTTAATAGAAAAGCAATTGAATCTTATATTAAATTAAAATAAGTGAACAACTATAATATTAAAAATTTAAGCAAAATAGTACCTTTTAACCCTTTTATTTCTTTGAATTTTTTTCAATTTATTTATTTAAGAAAGAATATCTAAATCTATTCAAATTAAAAAGGGCTTCAGAAAATTTTCAAATATTGTAAATCATCAATACCATTGAAGTTATTCAAGTGATAAATTTTAATTCTTAGAAGTTTCTTTCTTTTTGATCTTAAATCACTGCCAGTCATAAATAAGTGCAACTCAATTACTGGTTGGTATGATAAACTATGAAGTGATAATTGTGATTTATTAACTTGTTAAAAGTTTAAGCATACATCAAAATCAACTCTATTTAAGCCTTTCTTATAAAAGGCTATCAAAAATTTTCTCAACTGCTCGAACCAAATTAAAATTTGATTTTTTCATGAATTTTCGATTAACTAAGAAAAAAATATATTTCCTATCTACTTGTAAGTTCAATCCTTACACAATAGTCCTTTCAATAAACATTTTCAAATAATTTAATTCAGGGATGTATAAACCATATGGCATTCAAATTATTATGAGTATCTGTACTCCTTTTTAATAGTACTCAATTCAAATCCTATGTTAGTTCCATCGATACGATGGCAAAAAACTCTATCACAATCTATTTTGTAATTTTTGATAGCTTCAGGTTTAGTTGTAAATATATTGTGTTTATTTTTTGATAGGGAGTTTTTAGAATGAAGAATTAATTTTCTCTGAATCTGGTTTTTCTTCTTGATTTTCTGACCCTACATTAGACTTTGAATTATTAGCCTTTCTGGAAGGAATAAATTATGAATCAGAGTATGAAATTTGGATAATGAATGCTGAAACAAATTTGTTAATATATTGTTTCATATTCGTCTTTCTTCTCCACTTTCTTGCCCAGCGTACTCAATTAAAAGAATTTCAGCTTTATTTAAATGTTTAAAGTATTTTTTTTTTGATTCTAAAATATCACCAAAGCTTGAGCTATTTTACAGGAGTTCATAAGTTTTAAAGAATGGCAAGACCTGTCTAAGTGTATCCCTCTTGAGCTGTTAAGGTAATCTGATGATAATCCTAACCTTTAAAGAGTTGAAGTAAAGTAACCTAATCAAAGGAACATACATGCCATCACACTAGACAATATTAGAGATGCTTGACTCCAAGAAAGATCTAATAAAGGCTTTAAATGACAGACCAAATATTGAACATTAAACTAGAAAATATTTGTTTTATTGACAAAATATTCTGGTCTTGCATATAAATAGGAAGTATCAGTACTTATTTTACTGTTAGTGGGTATTTAGAGATTCGAAATCACTTTCTTCTCTTAGTCTTTTGATCACTTCTTTTAATCTTAATATTTAATAAGCGAAAATTGATAATTAACATCGAAAAATGCTTTATGAGAATTTAAATAGATTTCTAATATTTTTTCCTAATTAATAAGTATTTGATTGAACTTTAGTTATTAGTTTTATTTCAAGCAACTGTAAAATATCGTATATCTGATATTTTCAATCTTTACTACTTCATTTTTCCAACTTTTGGAGTATTTGTGATTGTTTCTATAATTTAAAACTAATTAATTCTATTTATCAAAATTTTTTATACTAATCACGACATCAAGAGTTTATATTCTTGAAATTTTTAACAAATTCTTTAGTAATATTATTTATTCATTATTAATTTAAAAGAATTTGTTTAGTAATTTTCCCAAATTATCATTTTAGAAAGCTTCTCACTTTCAACAATTATTTATGAAAGTTGAGTTTAATTTATTGATTTTCACAGTATTTATTATTTTCAAAATAATATGAATTTTCTCAAATAGAACTTATATGTCCTATGAACCAAAAGATTGTCATTTTGTATACATAATCATTCAATTAAAAAAATACAGAATGTGATTCAGAAAATAATTATCTAGCATAGTAAATACAAAAGATATATATCCATTTCTTCTAGTCAACGTTATAAATTAACTCCCCAAAATTATATTCGTTTCGTTAAATTTAGCTATAAAAGTTATATCATTGATTTATAAGTATAATTACTTTGTTCTAAATGAAATAGACATCATTTATTATTTCTCCAAAAATCTATTATTTATTATAAACCAAGATGTTTTATCATTGAGGTGTGTTCAATTATTAAATTATATCTTTAAAGTATTAAAGGTTGTTTAAAATTCTACACCTTAACATCAGTATTATATATTATTAAACATTAATTTAAATCTACAATAGTCAGATATCTTTTTTGATTGATTGAATTTGTAAATTGCAGTGTATTATGGATTTGGTCCAAATGATTTTATATTATGGACCTTATGCAAAATGAAAGTTAAATCCCCCTGAAATACTCAAAGAAAAAAGGATCGCTATTTCTGATTATCTATACATAAATTATTGCCCAACTTGGAGCCTTGGTTTTTATTTCGAATATATAAACAACAATTTATTCACCCATAAATATTTGCAATCAATTATATAGATAAAATGAAAGCTTTTTTGATTAACCGATTTAAATTTTAATAAGGATAAGTCATGCGTATATTAATTCTTATATGACTTATTATCTGAATATATTAGTCTTAAAGATACTATGTTCACAAATTGAATTGCATTTATTGATATTTTTCTTTTATATCTGAAATAAGTTTCATAATATAAAATTTCTCTAGTTAAATCAATTGAAATGGTGACCCTATAAAAGCATTTTATCTCTAAATATTCAGCGAATCCTTTTCTTGAAATATGATGTCTCATAAATATTGGTTGATTGTTACTTTAAATTTTTTAAACTTATGAATTTTCTTGTATATTTATTCTTTTTTTCATATACATTTTGGAGACTGTTAATCTAAATTACGTATTTTAAGTCTACAGTGCGTAAATTAATTATGTAATTTATTACGATCAAAAACACTTCGTATATTTTTAAATATCAATTTTAATAGAAATAGGAAATGTAAATTAGATGTACTTAAGCAGATCATCGAAATCAATAAATAATCGGGTTTGTATAAATAGTACATGCCCAAATTAAAGACTGTATTGTAATTTTTGTTTGCCTCGCCATAGCGAACATCTTGAAATGTTAACATCCATAGAACTTTTGTTTTAATGGATTTAGAAAGGAACTTAGGATAACAAACGTTGAAAAGAATGTTTAAGAGATTAAAGTCCCATAATTAGGATTATCTCAGATTGACAAATTAATCAAAGATTTATGTAAAATGGAAGATTGTGAAAAAATTTATTCAAATAACTTAAACAATCAATTGAATAAGGAAAACTAATTGTAAACGAAATACTTAAAAAAATAAAAAATTAATCTTCTTTGGAGTAAAATGATCGTATATTAAAACAAAACCTAAAACCATTTAAATATGAATTAATTAAAAATAATTCTATTAAATATAATGATGAATGTTATGCAATTGCTTATAATAAAGATTGTTAAATTGTAGCACTT